GCCTATCCTTATACATATTATATCAATTTACCCACATACTAATACACATGTAGGATAATTTCTATGAATGAGACTGGATTAAAGGAGTTATTAAATTTAAATTTAACAATATTTTAAAATTTTGATAGAAATTACCAAATTATCCCTGATATCAATTATGCCAGTTTATTTTCACACCCATGTTGTATGAGAATACCTGTTTTCCCACAACTACTGTTAAACTCTTGGATCTTTGTGTGTTATAAATGAAAATGATAACTCATAGTTTTCTTTGCATTTTCCTTATGAGTGTGGTTAACAATAGTAAAATTAATAGCTACAATTTAGAGAGGACTACCATACCCCAGGCCTGTGTCACATAATTAATCCTCCCAACCACATGAAATAAGGCTGAGTTCAGTGACTTTCCCAGTGTTACATAGTTAATAAATAGTATAGCAGGGTTGTTTTCTTAACTGTTTCTCTTTCTGCCTGATAATCTGATAGATCCATGGATACTTTTGCCCCTGCATCCTAAGAGAGATCCTCAGGTCTCCTACTTTGGGGAGAGACCTTCCACAGAGGAAAACTGACTCTTAGGAGTTTCCATGGTATTAATACTATTTACAGTCAGCCCATCATGCCACCTAGGGAGCCATTTTTAGACATTTAGAATATTTTCCATGAGATCTCTGGGGAGGGTCCCAGATGATAATAGGATTTGTGTTCAGATTTGTAGCTATAATGGTATCTTTTTTTTTTTTTTTTTAACTTTTATATGCACTGGGAAACCAAAAAATTTATGTGACCCGTTTTATTGTGGTATTTGTTTCACTGCCGTGGTCTGGAATCAAACTGGCAATATCTCCGAGGTATGCCTGTACAGTCATGTTCTGAGGAACTGGCGTTTAGGACTTCAATATAGAAGTTTGGGGACACAATTCAGCCATAACTGCACAATATAAATATTTTTCTGGACTTACAGAGGACTGCCCATGGTAGGCATTCAGAACACAGTAGGAAATAGCCTTGCCGACCGTTTTCCATTGCAGCATCATGATGAGAGGCAGTAGGAGAGACCTGCCAAAACTGTGAGCTTATTCCCTGCTGCTGTGGGGCCGGGATCTTCTGAGCCTGTGCTGCCTCCAGTCTTGTTCAGCAAATAAATGAGCTGTCTTCCCTTTGGGTTTGGAATGCTTTTTTTGTAGGAAAGGAGTATCAAATACTGAACAGCTCAGAGAGAAACAGGTGTGTATGGGCTGTGGGCACTTGGCTCTGTTTACATGTGTGAGTGTTTTCTGGAACACCCCATCCAGGCCCGTTGAGGAGCTCTCACCAGCTGAAGGAAAAACTACCAATTTGGTATCCTTTTTTTTTTTAAAAGAGAAAGTTGGCATTAGTTTTGACTTTCATGCTAGAAATAAGGTGCTAAGATAGACCCAAAGATCACTCTAAACTCTTCCAGAATGAAAATTATGACATCAAAATGGAAACATGAAGTTAACGGCAATAGCAAACTTACTGAGTGCACCAAGCCATCTTTATTAGTCACCCTATCAGTAGAAACCTGCGATCTGTGACTTCTGAGTTAAGTGCTATTAGATCTCAGTTTTCAGTAGTCAGGGCTAAAGGATCACATTATTCAAGTTCATAATAATTTCTTGCTTGCATGTTACTTTTATTTCTATTGTGTTACTTTTCCTTCTGAAGACAGCACATGAGGCCTGTGTATTCTCCTTTAGCCCTCATTTTTGAATGAATTTATTGAGTAACTGGCTATGCCCAGTGTAATGCTGTTCTTTTTCTTATTGTACTATACAGGGAATAGCGGACAGGCTGGTCCTCTTAGACCTTTCAGAAGGAAATAAAGGAGGGACGATGGACCTTGACATCTTCAGTCTGCCTAATGTGGAGATCAGCAAAGGTCTGCTTATTCTGCTTAGGTGTTTGCCTTATTTGCTCTTGTTTTTGAGTCCCAGAATTTAAATGCTAAAAAGCACCTCGAAGTCCAAGTCCCTCATTTTACATATTGGGAAACTAAGATTCAAATAAGTTAAATGACTTTCCCAAAGTCATATAGAGATTGCAACCGATTATATCAACAAGATTAAATAAGCAAATAACATTCAGAATCATACATATTGGTCAGAAGAAGTTATTCTTTTTCTTTGATTTATACCTCAAGATAAATTTGTTTTCTCTGATTGCTTCCTTTCTCAGAATATATTGGTTAAAAGCACTGGTTACAGAGTTCAAAAGATGGAAGTTTGCATCTTAGCTCTGCCACATTATAGCTCTGACATTTGTCAGATTATATAAGTTCAGTTTTCTCATCTGTAAAATGAGAATAGTACCTACCTCTTGGTATATAGCAAAGTGCTAAGCCAAGATTA